GCATCTTGAAGGTCATCTTGGCCGTCTTGGAGGCCTATTTGACCCTTTCGGGCCTTCTTGGAGAACGTCTTGGAGGGCTCTTGGGCCGTCTTGGAGACCATCTTGAGCGTCTTGGGCAGGCCTCTTGGGCCGTCTTGGGGGCCACTTGGGGCCATCTTGGGCTTGGGCCTATTGGATGATTCTTGGGGGCACTTAGGCCGTCTCGGGCCGTCGGCAAGCCAAAAAAAGGCAAATGCCAGAATCCGTTAAACGAACTAATAGGAAATCAATGTGTTTAGCCTTTTCTGGCCTTCCTGGTGGCCCTCTTGGAGGCCTCTTGGGCCGTCTTGGGCCAGTTTCGAGCCAACTTCGGCCATCTTGGTGGGTTCCTGGCCCGTCTGGCGCCGTCGGGAGCCGTCTTGGGGGCCTCTCTGAACCGACTTCGGACCCTCTTGGGGCGCTTCGGAGCCGTCTTGGAGGCCATCTTGGGCGTCTTGGAGGTCTCTTGGGCAGTCTTGGGTTGGGGCCCTCTTGGGGCCGTCTTGGAGGCGTCTTGGGCCGTCATGTGGCCCTCTTGGAGGCCTCGTGGGCGATGTAGGGCGATCTTTGGGGGCTCTTGGGCCGTCTCGGGCCGTCGGAAGGCCGAAAGGAAGCAAGTGTCAAAATCCTTCAAAAACCTTTGGACAATCCATGTTTTTTGCCTTTCCTGGCCTTCCTGAAGGCCCTCTTGGAGGCCTCTTGGGCCGTCTTGGGCAAGCTTCGAGCCAACTTCGGCCATCTTGTTTGGTTCATGGCTCGTCTGACACCGTCGGGGGCCATCTTGGGGGCCTTTCTGAACCGACTTGGGGTCCTCTTGGGGCGTTTCGGGGCCGTCTTGGAGGCCATCTTGGGCGTCTTGGAGGTCTCTTGGGCCGTCTTGGGGCCCTCTTGGGGCCGTCTTGGAGGCCTCTTGGGCCGTCATGGGGCCCTCTTGGAGGCCTCGTGGGCGATTTGGGGGCGATCTTGGCGGCCTCGTGGGCCGCCTTGAGTCGTCGGTAGGCCGAAAAGAGGCAGATGTCATTTTTTTTTAATGAAAAAATAAATGATTTTGGCCTCTTCGGGCCCTCCTGAAGGACCTCTTCGAGACCTCTTGGGATGTCTTGGGCCGTCTTGGAGGCTTCTTGGGTGAACTTGGAGGTATCTTGCACCCTCTTGGACCGTCTTGGAGGCCATCTTGGCCGTCTTGGAGGCCATCTTGAGCCGTCGTGGGGGATTTCTTGTGGACGCTGAGGTGGTTTTCGCGGCCTTCCGGGACCCTGGCGGGACGGGCCGAAGCCCCAGAGGGAGCTCTTGCGATGAATCGACAGGGGGCGGCGGATCGAAGACGCCTACGGCGAATCACCGCCGCCCCCTGCCTTTTTGGAAGCGCCTATGTGGCCGAACGTTGAGGCCAGACCTGCCAAGCCATCGGACCATGTGTTCCCCGAATCCGTTTGGAAAGCCTTCGGGGAACACGTGGGCATCTTGAATGTCATTTTGGCCGTCTTGGAGGCCTCTTGGGCGATCTTTCGGCGATCTTTGGGGGCTCTTGGGCCATCTCGGGCCGTAGGAAGGCCGAAAAGAAGGAAATGTCAAAATCCGTCAAAAACATCAGGACAATCCATGTTTGGGGCCTCTTCTGGCCTTCTTGGAGGCCCTCTTGGAGGCCTCTTGGGCCGTCTTGGGCCAGCTTCGAGCCAACTTCGGCCATCTTGGTGGGTTCCTGGCCCGTCTGACGCCGTCGGGAGCCGTCTTGGGATCCTCTCTGAACCGACTTAGGACCCTCGTGGAGCGCTTCGGGGCCGTCTTGGAGGCCATCTTGGGCGTCTTGGAGGCCATCTTGGGCGTGTTGGAGGCCTCTTGGGCCGTCTTGGGGCCCTCTTGGGGCCATCTTGGAGGCCACTTGGGCCGTCATGGGGGCCTCTTGGGCGATCTTGGGGGCCTCTTGGGCCGTCTTGGGCCGTCGGAATGCCGAGAAGAAGCACATTCCAACATCCTTCGAAAAGCTAAGGAAAAGCAATGATTTTGGCCTCTTTGGGCGCTCCTAGAGGACCTCTTGGAGGCCTCTTGGGCCGTCTGGGAGGCCTCTGGGGTGCCTCTTGGGCCGTCTTGGGCCGTCTTGGACTCTCTTGGGCCGTCTTGGAGGCCGTCTTGGACCATCTTGGGCGGACTTGGAGGCCACCTTGGGCCATCTTCGCGATGTTTGGAGGATGTCCCGAGCGAAACGGCCGTTTCAGGGAGGATCCCGTGACCCCGGCGGGACGGGCCGAAGCCCCAGGGGGAGTTCTTTTGGAAAAAGAGCCGAAACCGAAAGGATCCAGCACGCCAGGCACCCTTGCGATGAATCGACAGGGGGCGGCGGACCTAGTGGCCTTCGGCCCATCCCGCCACCGCGCCTGCTTTGCAGGCAGAAGCCTCGACTCTTGGGAGGCCTCTCGGATGCCTCTTCGAGGCGATTTGAGGGGTTCGGGGGCCTTTTGTCAGGAGGGGAAAAAACACACAGACACAATTAATCGTCGATTCCCAAGAAAAGATGAGAGAATATAGGCAGTGGGGGGGAAGACAGATACCCAGAAAATATGGGAAAAAATTGGGAATCCTTTTATTTGTGTGTGTATTTATTTGTGTGCTCCAGTTCCCCTTCATTTTGGGCGCACCTCAGGGGGCTTGTGAGGGGACCTCGGGGCGCCGGGCTCACAATGTCAGTTTTTCGTGCTCCCCCTCTGTGGGCCCCCTTGGGGGCATGCTGGGCCCCCTCCTCCTCCTCCTCCTCCTCCTCCTCCTCCTCCTCCTCCTCCTCATACAATAACCCAGCACCACTACCACCACCACCAGGGGCGATCTTGGGCGCCTCCTGGGCCTTCTTAGACGCTCCGGAGACCGCGAGAAAAGGCTAGAATGCGAGCACCGTGCAGCAGACCGGCGTATGTTATCAATCTTGCCTTCTTCGTCCGCTCTCCAGAGCTTCCAACACGGCCCACTGGGCGCCCAAGACGGCTCCGAGACGGCTTCGGGACCTCCCGAGCCCACTTCCCCCCCCTAAGAAATCGCGGGGTGGTGGGGTAGGTTTCGCATGTGGCGTTCTACATTTGCTGAGCGCAATGTAAAGAACTCGACGAGCACGTTGGCGCATTCGGGGTACCGATCTTGGGCGGGCTTTGGGGCGGGCTGGGGATACATGGGGAGGGGGGTTGTCCCAAGGTGAGGTCAGGCAGCGGGCCTGGCTGAGATGATCACACTTCCTTTTTCCAGGGGCCGCTTGGAACTCATAACCCCAGACCCCAACTCTGCTCCTTCAGTCAAGGGCAGAAAAAAACGCCCCTACCCTGGTGTACGAGGCGCTGTGCTCTGAAACTCCCGTGGGCTGACAGGGTAAACCCTGCGTGCGGTGCCGCGTCCTGGCGGCTCTAGGCCTTGAGGGCTCCCAGGAGGTGTACAGACCACGCACTTGTAACCCAGGGTAGGGTCGTTTTTTCATCCCTCACTAGGGGGCCACATGCGAACCCTACCCCTACCCCCCACGATTTCTGAGGGGGAGGGTGGGGTTCACTTCGTGCGGGAGCTACCGAGCGAAGGGAACCCCACCCTTCCCTCTCAGGAATCGTGGGGGGGCAGGGTCGTTTTTTCATCCCTCAATTCAGTGAATGCGCCGCAACACGGACCACTCGAGGCCCGGGAGGGGGCTCTGGTGCTCCGGCCGCTCCTTTTACACCTCAGGTCCGGGGAGGCCGCTCGTGGCCCGAGCCTCCCCGTGGACAGAGAGGTCCCTCCTGTCCTTCCTCGGCGTTCTCCTCCTCCTCCTCCTCCCCCGCCCTCCTCCTCCTCTTCCTCCGCCCTCCTCCTCCTCCTCCTCCGCCCTCCTCCTCCTCCTCCTCTTCCTCCGCCCTCCTCCTCCTCCTCCTCCCTCCTCCTCCTCCTCCTCCTCCTCCTCCTCCTCCTCCTCCTCCTCCTCCTCCTCCTCCTCCTCCTCCTCCCCGATGTCAGCGCGACGGCTGCACGCCACCCCGAGGGTCGGGGGGCTCCCTGCGCTTCGCGCGCGTCGCGGCCGGCGGGCCGCCGGACACCTGCCTCCCCCGGGGGGCCGCGGCGCGAGGCCAGAAGTTGCGCGGCGCGAGGGCCCGAGGTTGGGCCCGAGGCGGGAATGTATCCACAACCACGGCCTGGAGGATCGGGCCGGACGAAAGGGGGGGGGGGTGGGAAAGGGTGGGTTACGAAATCTGCTGCATGCAGCTGGTTTCGGCCTCACCGAGGGGCCCATTTCTCGATACATAGCCGCCTCCGGCGCCGGGAGGCGCCGGGAAAATCAGCTACGTGAGCTGATTCTCAACCCCCCCCCTTTGCTATCCCCCCCTTTCGCCCGACCCGAGAGGATCGATCAGGCGGTGGATGTGAATACATCTACTTATATAGATGTCTATGTGTTTGGATGCACATCTCGTTTTCTCTCTCTCTCTCCTCCCCTTTTATCTCTCTATATGTATATGTATAGCCAGATGCCCGCGAGCCCCCATGGGGCCCTTGTTCTTCAATCTCCACCCATTGCAGCTCAGGTGCAAGTTCGCTCTGTCGGGGGCCCCGGTGCCTCGGCCGCCTTGCCGAGACAGGCCGCGCGGCCCCCATGGCGCTGCGGTGGCTGCCGGCGGCGGTGCTGCTTGCGCCCTGGCGCCCAGCGCTCGTCGGGGCCGCGTTGCCGCCAGCGCCAATCGTGGTGGTTTGGGCCTCTTAGATGGGATGCGAGCAGAGGGGGTCGGAGGATCGCGCCACATCGCCGATGCTCGGCGATGCGGCACGCAGACGTCGCCGATGCATCGCCGACGTCGCCGATGCATCGCCGACGCATCGCCGATACATCGGCGATGCACTAGCGATGCGGCGCGATCCTTCGACCCCATCTGCTCGGACACTATCTAGGAGGCCTCTAGGTGGCGGAGGAGGCCTGCGAGTGGCCGACGTGTGCGAAGCACAAAGTCACCTGCGAGACGAAGAAGGTTGGAACGTGCCTGATGCCCGAGCCGGGGTGCACCAACAAGCACGCGCAGTGCTCGCTGGGGCGTTGCAATTGCCCGGACCTGTACTGCGCGGTCCCTGGCACCAAAGAGTGCGTGCCCCAGCTCGTGTACGAGGGCGCCCGCCCCGGCGACTTCACTCGCGGGCCCTGGCTGAGGGCGTTCACGTGGCTCGGCAGCCCTGATCAGTTCCCGAACATAGCGCAGCTCGTGGAGCAACCCGAAGGGCTGATCTCGCCTCGCTGCCTTCCCGCCGTCCTCCTGCTGCTCGTGGGCCTGGCCATCGCGGTCGTCACAGGGGTGGATCTGTGCGAGGACCTGGTCCGGTGCGTATTCTGCAAGCGCGCCTTCAGGGAGTCAGACGTCCCAGGCGAGACCCACCAGAAGGACAACATGACGCTGGTCGGCCTCGAGTGGGTGGACGAGGAGCATCCGGACAGGCACAAGAATGAGAAGGAGCCCGCCTGCACGCCAGTGGCAGCCCTGGCCGCGATGGTCGTGGTCTTCAGCATCTCGGCGGTGCTCGGGCGGCTGGGCAACTGGCGGATCACCACCGACATCCTGATCTCGCTGTTGGATAGGCTGAAGGGCAACGCACAGATGCTCCAGAGCAACAGCGTCGTCCTCAACTACACCGCCTCGAACCTGAGCTACACGTTCTCGCGGATTGCGAACTGCAGTCAGAATCCCCTGATGTCTTTGGTCGGCGGTCTGGCGGTAAACTCCACACAAGAGTTGGCCACGAGTGTGTCCCAGTTCAGGAACGAGTTGTCGAACGTGCCCGATAAGGTCGATTCCATCGAGCTGGAGATCAAGAGTTTCCAGACGCTGGCCGTCTACCTGCCTTGTGCCCCGATGATCCTCATGTCCCTCATCGCCGCGGGCATGCTGGCGGAGGTTCTGCTTACCAGGTATTACGGATCAGCCAAGACGGCCAAGTACGAAGAGAAGGGCCTTGCTGTATGTGCAGGCGTCTTCGTATTGATCATCGCCGTGGTGGCCGTCACATGTGCTGCCCTACTCTCCAGCGTGATAGGCGTTGCCCAGCAGTGTGATGACATCGATACCAATGTGGTGGAATATCTCAAGCATGAGACTCAGCACAGGAAGCTGGACCCGATTCTGCTCAACATAACACGGCATTACCTCTTCGACGACGTCTATAACCCGTTGGGGCACTTCGCAGACGAAATCTACAATTATGTCGAAACAGTGGAGGAGTTGGTCGAAGAGTACAACCATTCCATCGTTTATCCACAGTCGCTCACGTGCAAGCCTCTGAACGACTTACATGTCGATCACATTGGTAACGTCACCAAGGAGACTTTGGCGGTGGCAAGGGATCTGTTCAATGCCACCAACATCTACCCGTATTACCAGGAGGTTGTGCACGCCGGCATATGCAACCATATTCCGCAAAGCGTAGGTCTATCGAAGACGCCTACGGCGAATCACCGCCGCCTCCTGCCTATGGAGATAGATCTAGGTGGCCTCACGTTTGGGCAAAGCTTTGCCACGCTATTGGACCAGCCGTTCCCCTAGCCGTTGTGGAAGCCCTTCGCGCAACACGTTGGGGGAGGAAGAGGAGGATGAGGGGAGGAAGGGAAAAAGAGGGTGAGAAGGATGAGGAGACCTTTTGGGAGCTTCTGGGGTCATTCTTGGGGCACTATTGGCCTTCCTGGGGTCCTCTTGGGGGCCTCTGGGGGCTTCTTGGGGGCCACTGACAGTCTTACGGCGTGTCTGGCCCGTCTGACGCCGTCAGAAGCCGTTTGGGGAGCCTCTCTGGGCCATTTTGGGGTGTTTCAGGGTCGTCTTGAAGGCCATCTTGGGCGTGCGCATTGCAAATCAATGATTCGTGTTTCGTCGGGCTTTCCTGGAGGACCTATTGGAGGCCTCTTGGGCCGTCTTGGAGGCATCTTGGAAGTTTCTTTGGCCGTGTTTGGCAACTTTAAGGACATCTTAGGCCGTCTTGAGGCCATCTTTGGCGCTCTCGGGGCCGTCTTGGAGGCGTCTTGAGACCGTCCAAGGATGCCTGTCGGGGTCTCTTCGGACCGCTCTCGGGGGCCTCGGGGGGGCAGTGTGGGAGCCGTCTTGGATCGCCGGGAAGCCGAAAAGGCGAGAACGCCAAGAATCAGTCAAACACCTACGGAACATCAATGAGTCTTGCCCCCTGGGGTCCTCCTAGGTGTGGTCTTGGAGGACTCTTTGGGCCTTCTGGAGGCCATCTTGAGCTTCTTGGGAGCGACCTCTCGGCGACCCTGCACCCTCTTTGACGGTCTGTTACCAGCCTGGAACATATCCTTATCCCTATGTTTGACATCACCTCACCTCGATGTCGATCTTAAGGATTCCCTCAGTTTCTGAGGGCCTATCCCTAAGATTGTCCTCGCTTTTTGCTCGCCCATCTTAGGGATAGGGATACGTTCGAGGCTGGACGGTCTGGGCGGCCTCCCGGGGCTGCCTTGGCCAGGGGCCCTCCCGAGCGAGGGGGCCGCGCAGGAGGCCCACGCCACACACCCCGGGAGCGGCCAGGAAACTCCTGGCACCGCTCGGACGTGTGCATTTTTTCCTCGGCGACGGCCATCGAGGAGCATCCTTGATCACTTGGCGGAAAAAAAACACGCATAACATCGAAAAATGCACGAGGAAGGGACGTCCGAGCGATGGCGAGAACTGGGGGTCCGGGCCCTTACGAGCCTGACAGACCCTCTAAACCTCCCAGGGCTGCATGAGCCTCGGGGCACTCCGCTTCGTGCCGGGGGGCACGGTGGCGGATTCTGTCTCCAGCAGGCGGTCGTGGGACTGATCTTTTTCCCCTTGTGCGCGTGCTGGACCCACAACTACCTCGCACACCACGTGAGCGCGCAGCGGCCAGGGCGCCCAGAAGCGTCGGACGACGAAGATACGGAGGGCGTTACCGATGACGCAGACGATGGGCCGCGGAAGCTCGCGACGGTGGCGCCCAGGGAGCTCGGGCGCTGAGGACCCCGGGACACGCCCGGCTCCATTTTCTCTTCGAGGATCTCCTTGGGATTCCGGGCGGACGAAGGATCGAAATGTGGACAGAAGTTGATGGGCCCGTTTCCCACCACCACGACCATAGGTAGAAGAGGGCGGAAGGGGGAGGGAGGGGGAGAAGGAGGAGGAGGAGGAGGAGGAGGAGGACCAGGACCTCCCCATTCGCCGATCGTTCCCGTCTTACCTATAGTAGTGGTGGAAGAACATTGGCCCATCAGAAATCACTCTGACGTGACAGCGTATGATACATGTTAGTCACCTATCGCAGTTGTGCCCATGTTTTATTCCTCGCACCCCTCGCTCGTGTTGCTACGCAGCGAGCCTGAATTCCGAAGCAGCTGTCTTGACAATTTACCACTTGTCTCAACCGCTGTAATTTTTCTACAATCGGTTTAATACTGGCACTACAGGTGCCCTTTTTTTGCACGAGAGCTCGCGATGGAACGTACATATTTTCCAATGCGGGCCAGCATGTGGACCAGACATGTGGTTCAATGCCAACACCTCGCATTCGAGCGACATGCAAGAGTATATCCGCGCTTGCCCAGGGCGGGCTTTTTCGGTCTCACGGAGTTTGCCCAGACTGCGATGCGATCCGGCAGCCCGTCGTCAATGGGCCCTTCATGTGCCAACTTGGAGCCGCCCACCAGGGTCTCAGGTCGTCGGTTGCCTGGGCGGTGGATGTGGATCAACCCCCGCCTCTCATGGGTGGCCTGGGAGGGTAGCAGCACATTAAATCCAGGTTCCACGTCGGGCGGTCCAGTGCGCTTTCGCTCTTCTTGGGCCTTTGGGCGGCTCCTCGCATCCCCGGCCTCGCCGAGGCCACTTAGGACCTGCCTCTGGGGGGCACCCGTCGGGGCTGGCCAAGAGTGGGGTGCTGACCATCGGGGCTCAAGAGACAGCGATCAATGCAAGCGGGGGTCAGCCAGGGCACCAGATCTTGCAGGATCCTGCGAAGACCCCCTTTGGCTGACCCGGGTTAGCGAGCCGTTCGTGGCCGCGGGGCGGCTGCGCATATTGGCTGACCCGGGTTTGCAGCTTTTTGGTTTCCTGCTGACCCAGGCTTGGACTGACCCCGGTCAGAAGATTCCCGAGACCAGTTGGGGGTTGACGTCATGGGTGGGGCCATGTGATCTCCCAGATGACATGACCCCTCTCACTCTTTCAATAGAGGAGCGGACAATGACATGTACATCATAACTCGGAGGTCCGTGCGGATTCCTCGGATTGGCGCCAGGGCCCCCTGGCGGCGCCTCCGGCGCCGCCCCTGGCGCGCTCCGGCGCGCTCCGCGCGCCAGGGAGCGGGGTCCAGCGCGGATCCAAGAAGTCCGCGCGGATTTCCGAGCTTTTATGATTTTCATGCCATTGTTCTGTCCCGTACCCATGACGTATCCAAGCCCCCTCCCTCGCCCGCGCATGTGGTTCGGGCCATTACCAGTTTGAAACATATCCCTGTCCCTGTGATTGACATCACCTCACCTCGATGCCGATCTTATACTGATTCCCTCAGCTCCTGGGGGCACATCCTTGAGCTTGCCCTCGCGCTTTGCTCGCCCACCTTAGGGATAGCGACAAGTTCGGGGCTGGTTTGGCCGTGGTGTGCGAGCGCTCCTCTTGGGCGCCCCGCCCCGTCTCAGGAGGGAACAAAAACACACAGACACAATTAGTCGTCGATTCCCCCGAAAAGATGGGAGGGTATGGGACGTGGGGGGGAAGACAGGAGCCCCGAAAATAGGGGAAAAGATGTGAATCGTTTGATGTGTGGGTATTTCTTTGTGTCTCCTGGGGCCTCTTCACTTCTCCACATCCTTGTGGAGGGGGCGAAGGCTGGGGGAAAGACGAGCTCTAGGGCGGGCCTGCCCCTCTGCAGGAGGAATATCTAAAAATAGTCAAACAGTAGTCCGGGGACGATGTTTTGGGCATCGCTTGCGTGTATTCACTTGTGTCTCCCGGGGGCCCCTTCGCCCCCTACTCGAGGGCGCTTCCCCGCGCCAGAGCTCGCGGAGCTCTCGGAGGCCGGAGGCCCAGGGTCTCGGGCGGGCGAGGGCCGATAGGCTTCAGTCGGGCGTGTCCCCCCTGCAGGGGGATTTTGGGCGAAGAATGAAACATAGAAAGTAGAAACTATCCAAAGGAGAAAAAATATCCAATATTCAAAATTGGGATTTGGGGCGGAAAAAATAAATAAACATTCCAAACGTACCCCCAAGATGGTCAACACATACTCCAAACATAGTCCCCGTATTATTTTTGGACAATTGATTATTTTTTGTTTTAGTATTTCTGATGTGTCGTCGAACATCCCCCTGTAAGGGGACACGCCCGACTTAAGCCGAGGCCGCTCTCACGGTCTCTCTCGCTCCGCGGCCCGGGCTCCGGGAGTGGGGGCCTCTGGGGCCTCCCGTTCCCAGGGCCTCCTCGGGAGGTTTGCTTTTTTCGCTCTGCCAATTTCGGCGTCCGGGGGCCCTCGCGGGGCCTCGGGGCCGTCAAAAAACGGTTCAGGATGGGAAACCGGTCCCGGGGAATGGGTCGAGCCTTTGGGGGGTCGACGTTCTGAACAACTCATGACGTCGGGGGTCTGGGTTTCGACGTCGGCCAAACATAAGCGTCCAGGCTGTCGCGTCCTTCTGGGGCCTCCGCCTCCTCCTCCTCCTCATCCTCCTCCTCCTCCTCCTCCTCCTCCTCAAGGTCAGAGGTTCGAGAATCCAGGGCCCGAAACGTTTGCCGTCGAGTGCCCCGCCGCGGGCGGGAGGCCAGCATCTGAGCTCCAGGCTCGAGGAGGAGGACTGGGGATGCTCAATGTATCAGCCTCCAGGGGACTGTCTGGGGCCTTGGGGCTGCAAAGCGCCAGCCTGAGGTTGACATGCCAGCATGGACCCCTGGAGGGTCCAGAGGGGGGGGCAATTTTTGAGCGGCTTGTGAGCGGAGAGTCGGAGTTTGTTTGCCCGTCTGGGGCTGTGCTCCTTGGTCCTCGGGGGGAGGGGGGTCTCACTGTCGCCGCGGCCAGAACCCCCCGCCGCCTCGGAGGATTCGCGGGTCCCCGCGTGCACGCACTGAGCTTACGCCAGCAGGGCCCCACGGTGGAGCCAGCGCGGTTCTGGCCGCGCGTTGTTGCAACGAGCGCGTGCCCCCATTCGCCAGCCCCCACCCGCGGCCCCTCCTCCGCCGCGCTTTCCTTGGCCCCCTGCACCGTCTCAGTGCGGCACCGCACTCGGGCACGGGAGCTGCTCATCGCAGGAGAAATCAAAATCACAACACGAAAGTTCCGTCGGCCGCCAGGTTTGCTGCTCAGTCCAGAAGCAAGAGGCACGCGTGCCAAGGATCATACAATCACGGATGCGGGGACAATGGGAGATGGAGATGGCACCAAGGCCTAGCAGTTTTGGAAGGAGCGCGCAAGTGTTGCCACAGGCTGGCGAGGGACCATGACGAAGGGAGCGGCGAATTGCAGCATGGATGTGTGAGTGCAGCGCGCGGTTTCGATCTGAAGGCGATTTCGAACGAGGTTTCAACGGCGTGTTTTCTAGTGAAGCGAAGCGCTTGGTCACTGTGCGCTTTTCGGAGCCGTTGTTGGTTGGCGTCTTCGGGGCTTCGTGGGGGTCCTTTCGGAGCATTTTGAAACAATCTTGGTACCCTTGGGGGTCGTTCTGGGGCTCTTTGGGGCTGTCCCGGGGCTCTCTTGGGGGCGGGGGGCCACTGGAAGGAGCGGGGGGATCACGGTCGGTCGGAGGAAAGCGAAGGGGGTCCACGGGGGGCAGAGGGGGACCACGGTCGGTCAGAATGAGGGCGGGGGGGGGGGGGGGCGGGGCGCCACGGTCGGGCAGCGGGGAGGGGGGCACGGCTGGTCGGAACTACATAGAGGGAGGGGGCCGCGGGGGGAAGGGGGGGAGCACGGCCGGTCGGGACGAAAGGGGGGGGGGGTGGGGGAGCAGGACCGCACGGTCGGGGGGCGGGGGGGGGGCGCGGCCGGCCGGACTGAAGGGAGGGGGCCGCGGGGGGAAAGGGGAATCAGGGGAGGGTGGCCAAGGGGGGAGAGGAGGTGGCACGGTCGGTCGGAAAGCAGCGAGGGGGGCGGGGGGGGTGAAGGATGGGGGCCACGGTCGGGCAGGGGGAGGGGGGGTGGCACGGTCGAGCAGCGGGGGGGGGGGCACGGTCAGGCGGAATACAGGGAGGGGGACTACGCGGGGAATGGGGGGGCACGGTCGGTCGGAAGAAACGAATCAATAGCCCTACCAAACAATGTTATAAGAACCTTTTGTGGTTTCCACGAAATGTTCTTGAAACATTGCTGGCGGAGCCTGTTATGTTTTATCACATCGGATTCATGTTCTAAGAACATTTTGTTATTAGCACATTTTTTGGGTTCTGAGAACATGTCGTGGTAGTACTGTGGGAATGCCGGGACGGTCGGTCCCTGCTCAACTCAAGCGAGCAGAGGCGGGGGGGGACAGGGAGGCCACGGTCGGGCAGCGGGGTGGGGGGGTGAGACGGTCGGTCGGAACGAAGGGAGGGCGGCACGGTGGCAAGGAGGGGGGCACGGTGGGTCGGAATCGGGACACGGGGCCAGGAGGAGGGGAGCGAGGCGGCACGGTCAGGCAGCGGGAAGGGGCAGGGTCGGTCGGAGCACGGGGCAGGGGGTGACGGGGCGGAGGGGCGGGCACGGTCGGTCGGACTACAGGGAGGGAGGCGGGGCTGGAGCGCGGGGGGCACGGTCCGGCAGCAGGGGTGACGCGGCAGGTCGGGATATGGGGAGGGGGGACCACGGGGGGAGAGGGGCGGGCGGCACGGTCGGTCGGAATAGCAAAAGGGGGCGCGGCGGGCGCGGTCTGGCAACGGAGTGAGGGGAGGATCGGTCGGAGCAAGTGAGGGCGGGCCACGGGGGGAGCAGGGGGGGCACGGTCGGTCGGAATCATGAGGCAGAGGCGGGGGGGGGTAGCCATAATCGAGCAGGCGGCGTGGTGGTTGGG